AGTATAAAATATATGCCACCTGATACATTATTAAACGCTGTCCATGGTGTGTGTGTGGATGTATTGTATGTCCAGATCACTAAGCACAGCCCGGCTGTCTGACATGCTATTGAAGGCCGCATTTGGAGCTCACCTTTTTGAAGAGGGAAGCACGGAGAGCCTGAACGCTGAGAAAAGCATGGACGTTACAGGTAACATTTAAACAAATGCTTCTCAATTTATTTCTACTGATACTGTTTGTCTGTCTTCACCAGTATTTAAGATGAGATCATCCTTTGTTAGTCCCACAGCAGGGAATGTGTTACTGTTAAAGCAGCAAAGGGGACAGTGCAACAAGATACATAAGTAAAGAAAGGCAAATAATATACAAGTAAACGGTAAGACTAACAACAAAAATAGAAGACAGACTGCATGGTTGAAATTCACATGTTTGCACCTGTTATATTAAATATTGATACTGCACATAATGATCGTATTGCATAAGAGTTGATATTACACCAAATACTATTTTTAAGACTATGTAATTAGTTTGAAATTCTATTTTATACCAGAATACAGGGAAATCACCCTTTTATATGTATCTAAAGAAAACACTTTATATAATAATTAAATTACTACCTATGCCGTAAAGATATGTGAAATATAATATAGTTAAATTATTTTGGTGGTAAGTTGATATTACATGCAAAGCATATCTTTTGAGGGAACTACTGCTATGCATTTGGCCATGACATTTACTCAGCTGCAGTTTAGGGACATCTTTGCCTTTAGCTTAAGCTTTTATTTGCTCCCACAGCTCCATCTTCTGGTTGTCAGAGAGACTTTCCGGGCTCTGACAGCCCCCCTCCTGTGGTCTTCACGATGGGTTCTCCCTCCAAAGGAGGCACTCCTCCTGATAGCACACTGTCAAGGATGTTCTCAGGTAGGTGTGAGAAATATTGACTGTTGAGTGCATTCATTTTAAACCCTTTTTTAAGTTTGTATTGTAGTTTGTGAGATTTCCCCGGGGTCAGTCTTCTTAGTCATTTAAAAATAGCAAATTTCAATTAAAAAATGTTTTCATTAAATAAAAGCACTGGACCCTCTTTGGACAGAGTGCTGGTAAAGAAAATATTTTCATTTTTTTTATTCCGAAATCTTGTTTCTTACCTAATTTTCATTTAGATAAAAGTTACATGCAAAATATTAATTACAATAACATATTCTCCTTCTTATAGAACACAACTGGGTATTGTTACTCATAAACAATTCATCAGTTAGTCCCATGCTTTAATCACAATCATATTTCTGCTGTTCAGAGTTCAGTAGTTTTTGTCTTTGTCTTAAATGCAGGCTCCCCCAGCTACATTAACTCAGCCATGCTACTGAACAGTCGCCTGCTGCAGGGAGGAAGTCGTAGAAACAGTGAGACTGAAGCCATGGATGCTAGTCTGGTCTTTCACCCTCCAGAGCTCCCTGAAGACACACTGATGGAGGTACAGAATAATACTACGATGATACTGTGGGGGGGGAAACCTCCAGGTTGTTTTTAAGTTACATACATAATGTATTTTTGGTAGATCAATCAACCAAGCCAACATTTTATTTATATAGTGCCTTTTGAGCAAATCAAATCTACTCCCAAGTGCTTTTCAAGAGATTGACATAAGATGAGCCTAATATTAAAGGATTCTGATTGCCTGTGAATGTTTCAGTATTAACAGTATTTGTTCTTTTCCCAGCTGACTCATACAGATGCTCTGAGCGACCTGCGTTTCACCTTGGCTTTTGTCGTCTGTGTCATGGAATTGGCTTCTTCTAAAGACTCGGGGGTGGATGCCACCAGCAACCCTGATGTTTCCTTTCTAGAGCAGAGCTTGGTGACAGATCAGATCAGCCTGCTGAGTAAAGAATGGAGGTGAGAGGCATGATATATTTGTATCAATATGTACAAACGCTACTTTCCCTTAGAACTTGGAAATGACTGCTGTTTGGTTTGTGCATATTCCAGCTACGCAGAGCAGTTGGTGTTGTACATGAAGGCTGAGGAGTTTCTGTCATCGGCACTGCACACCGCTAAAGAGACGATCAAACAAGGCAAACTTGTTCCCTCTGCTACAGTCAAACAAGGTGAGACCAACCGAAACTGAAGACCGATCCAATACCAGTTATTGACTAATAAGCTGTTTACCTCACTTTTTGGAGGTAACCAGGATCGTCTTTGATTTGTAAGACAACATCTCACTTCACTTGAACATTGATTTCCTAAGAAACAAAATACAATAAATAAATACATATATATACATTTATGGAATTGTGTAAAAGTGGAATTACTATTCAAGTGTACACTTTAAAGGCAGCTACAAATTGGTCACAACTCAAACAATGTTCTAAATACTAGTATATGATTTATATAGTATTAACATGGTATAGAATTCAATAGATGGCCCCATTGTCAACTAAACCTCTACCCGATCCAGCTATTTGATTCAGTATCGATGCAATAACTATCAGTACATAATCATTTGTTATAATAATAATAAGAGGTCTTTGTATACTGTATTTCCTTTGTGCAGTGATAAAGAAGTTGAATGAATTGTACAAGAGCTGTGTTACATACTGTCGCAACCTCAACCATCGCCTTCAGACCTTCTTGCTGGACAAGCAGAAGCTAATGGTCCGCTTCAATGGTCTCACAGCAGAGAAACTCATCTACAGCCACACTGTGCACATGGTGAGCTCACCTCGCAGCAGGCGGATGTTGATATTCACTTCAAATCTAAATCTAAATGCATATGTCCAGCATGCATCTCTATCTTAGACGTAATGCATGTGTTCCTGCTGCATTCAGGTACAGAGTGCTGCTCTAGACGAGATGTTCCAGTATGGCACAGCATCAGTCCAGCGCTACCAAAGAGCCCTTTTGCTGATGGAGGGTCTGTCCCGGATCATCACAGAGCAGAAGGACATTGACAGCATAGATAAATGTATGTGGCAGAACTTTGACACACAAATAACAATGTGGTCGTTTAAATGCTAAACTTAGGCATTAGAAATGAACCGTACCGTATAGTACCCAATAATCTGTACTGTCGGTTTTGTTGGACCGATCAGTCTCATTATTTGTGCCACATGGTGTTGGATGCAATCAAGCATCAGACTATTGGATAACATTGTTCATGCTCTTAATACATTTATATTGAGATGTATTTATATTTAGACTACTGAATATTACGTAAAATATAGCCAACAGCAATTAATTTGTTATAAGAAACGTTCAGCTTCCGAGAGATCTCCCTCCAGACAGTTTTGTAGCAGCACTTTCACAAGAAATGTGGACATTTTATATTAACAGCATTAAGCGTTGAACTGTTTCTTCTGGGAAATTTGTTGGATATTCCATAGTTCATTTTCAGTTCTTTTTTAGTTGTCCTGTCACCTGGAGCACTTTTATTTTCAAATGTGTTTGATTCAGGGTGAGAGAAGGTCCTGTATCTTGGTGGAGTTGTTCTAATAGTCAATGTTTTATTATGAAAATACAAATGAGTTTTACTTTTCTATGAAAGAAACAAACAAAAACATATTTGTGTATGCTGATGAAAAATGAATAGAAATAAAAATGGCAAGCTGCGAAAAAATAAAGAGTAAAAGAATCTTGAGAATCAGAATCGTTCCTAAAAACTGCATCTCTAGCTGGACTTATACTAAATACAACAGGTGTCATTTTAAATCCTATGTGTTTTAATCTCTCTTTTCTCAGGTAAGCAGTGTATTGAGAGACGCCTTACTGCTCTACAGACCTAACAGTAGCCGCAAGTTCTACAACTGAAGCCACAAAAACTGCATTATCTTGACTCACCCATCGCCCTAGATGGATCTATGAATGTCAATACACTCAAGCACTTTTGACCTGTCTTAAGGGAAATGACCACTGGAGCATCTGCTCCCATCCCACCAGCCACTCTGTAACCTTTACATAAATGCTCAGAAAAGACTGCAGGTCCTGTTTTGTACAGGTTCACGGTGACAGATTGTGGCATGATTGTTCGAATACTTCAATCAGGGAAATTGTTTTCAGTATAGTGTTGTTTTGTTACAGAATGTACAAGTTAGTGTGTTGTTTTGTGTTTTGCACATAGAATCAGATTATATATTAACTGATTTTGAATGTGTGTTGTACTTGAAACAAATAAGGTGTTTTCTGTATTTGTAGCACTGGTTTTATATGTACTGTAAAGGTTCACTAGTCACCAGAATTAAGAATGTTTTGGATGAGATGACCAAATGTGTTGCGGTAATAGTAAAACTGTGCCTGCTTATTCACATTTTACGTCACAAGAGAGTAGTAGATGACGCATAATAATTGTCTTCATTGTAATCTAGACTTATAGTCTACGGTCATATTAACTTACATTTTAGACTGCAATAAGTATACTTCGACATTTGAATGTGATTTTAGTTTTACAACCACTGATCCAACAATGCCCAGTGGTGATGTAGTTAACTGCATGCTACATTAGTTTTGTTTATCAGATATGTGTTTGTATCTGTGCACATTAGTTCTGGTAAAAGATGGTATATTTGAATGATTGTGTGTTTTATTTTTGCCTGATAGTAATCCTACACTAGTTTCTCACAAATGAATGTACACATATGAAAATGTTAGTGTGCAAATGTAAGTTTGTAAGAATGTATCAAATTTTATGACTGCCAGTGACATTTGCCAAAATAATTGTTAAACACTGTGTGATGAAAATAAATAATATTTATTGTAAAACGATAGAGCTCTTCAAATCTGATTTATTCTCCATCCTAAATCAAATATCTCGAAGCACAACTTAAACATTACAATTACACCTTTTGGTTTATTCAATGGGAGCTGGATTCAGTTTCTTAAGACTAAATACAAATCAGGCCTTTTTACAGAAAATAATGCTGTCTTTTATTTCGTCGGTACACCACTTCCTGGACACAGGACGAGATCCGGGTTATATAAAGGTTGCCGCGGTCGCCATGTTGCTGAATGAAATTAGCTCCAAAACATTGAATAGCCGCTAGCAATATCGATATTTTTTCCCCCGTGAAATAACATTTGTTACAGCATGTAACTTATTGTAAATATGACTTTGGATTTATGAAACCTCTACAGAAGCCCCATTCCCCGTAAGTAACCCCGTTGAGGTGATATAATGTATTTTTTCAGTGGAAGCTGGCCTGCTAGTAATAACAAGCTAACATCGTTAGCATTGGCTAGCATGCCTCCTGTATCAATTATCATTATAATTGCTTGAAATGGCTCATGCAGCATTATTTCAAGTGTTGCAGTTTACTATTTGTGATGTACTGTAAAAATATTGACCCCCCTACCCATAGTCCCTACCTAAATATTGTGATAATTTGCCGGTGTTTATGTCTTAGTGTAATGCTACTTGTGTTAGCTAACGTTACGCCCCGTAGCGAAACTGCAAGTAGCTAACGTTAACGTCTTTGATACTACCATGTGCATCTAATTGAGATATGTAGTAATGCTATTGGGTTGTGAAAAAAGAGTAACGTTAGTCTACTACAAAATGTCTCCCCGTTATAATGTGCTGTTAATATGCCATCACTAACCGTACAAATCTCCATCACCAGTATCAGTACTGCTGTCACCTTTGTTTAATATGTTGATTGCTTTAGCTGATTTACAGTGATAAACAGCCTCATTCTTTATCCAGTTATGTGTATATCTTTCGTTAGCTTAAAAGTTCACACAAGTGTAAAGATCGGCTATAGCTATATTCTTAATGAGGTTGATAAGGCTTTATTGTCAAATGCACAGTAGCTACAGTGTAGTTATGGCCAGGAAAGGTCCCATGCTCCTCCAACAATGCACCCTAAATATAAACAAGACATTAAACTAATTAAAAAAACAACAACAATAAAATAGTGCAAGATTATGTTGCAAGACCAGTGTGCAGGTAATGCAGGAGAAGTGAATTATAAACATGTCAAATAAAATACAAAAAGCTAAATGCGGCAGAGAATGTTGTAAATGCATGAGTCTAAATACATGTAAAAAAGATAAACAAAAACAGAATGTAAAATACTGTACAGTGGAATAAATACTTCTTATCATAGTCATAATTACATTTGTGCTTTCAAGGTGTATGTACTGTCTGTAACATCCCTTTTCAACATTGCTTTTAACACACAATCGGTGTGTGTGTGTGTGTGTGTGTGTGTGTGTGTGTGTGTGTGTGTGTGTGTGTGTGTGTGTGTGATGAGCCAGCTGTCAAGCGTGAAGTCAACGGTACTGCCCGTTAAGTTTAACATTTCACACACAGTTGATTTAACAGGGTCACTTTATGCTTATAGTTATTATTTAAATAAGTATATGAGTACTCTATATGTAAACCAAAAGCTGACATCCAATATGAGTACTCAAGTACTCATGCCCATCCCCTGACGTTACTGTACGAAAAAATCGTATTCTCTGTATTGTAATTACAAATCATTGTGTCATGTAACCATGCGCTCCAAACCTATAGAATACTTGGATTACCTAAGAGAAAAACGTTTCTGATTATTTTCTTTTTGGTTCCCATTCAATAGTCAAGCATCACTTATCATTATGTTTTGTTTTCCCTCTCCACAGATTATTGTGTATAGACATAGTAACAGTTTTACGCAATGCACCATGGAAGTGGATCACAGAATATGCAACGACAGCTTCAGAGATCCAAGCCTGCCAGTGGGGCTGAAGCTGAGGAGCAACAGCAGCCCACCATGGCAGTCACGCAGCAGCAAGCTACAGCTAACCACCCTCAATCTCCTGTGACCACATTTTCCTCTGCTGCCAGCCCTTCAGCCCCCCAGTCGCCCAATTATCAGATAATCATGAGTCGCAGCCCAGTCACCGGCCAGAACATGAACATCACATTACAAAATGTGGGACAGATGGTGACTGGTAACCAGCAGATCACACTTACACCACTTCCCATACAAAACCCATCATCCCCTGGCTTCCAGCATGCTACACCTCAGTGGAGGTTTGAGCATGCTCCATCCTCCTACATCCAGGTCACCTCACCTGTGCCCCAACCCATGCAGCCCCAAAGTCCCACCCAGCACAGCCCGGTCACAAGGCCAGGAGCACCTGCAACAGCTTTGGGTGTATGTGGACAGAGTCCAACACGATTTGTTGATGCTGGTATGTTAGTGCGGCAAATCAGCTTAAACAGTCCATCGGGAAGTGGCCACTTTGTTTACCAGGAAGGTACAGGGCTGGCCCAGATTGCCCCGGCCACACCTGGCCAGATACAGCTGGCCTCTCCAGGAGCACCAGGCTCTGTGAGAGAGCGCCGGCTCTCTCAGCCTCACTCACAGACTGGAGGCACCATCCACCACCACGGACCTCAAAGTCCTGTTGCCACCGGTACTTCTCTCTCGACTCTGGGCAGCCCTAATCACATCACCACGTCTAACCTACCTCCACAGATCAGCAGTATCATTCAAGGACAGCTGGCCCGCCCTATGATATTTGAGAAGACGTCGCAGGGTGTTGTTGCTGGAGTAGGAACCACAGCATCATTCACTATTCCCTCCTCCATTCCACCGTCTAACCAGTCCCTCACGAGTCCAACCCAAGGGATCTCCAACAATCCTCTTGCACCAAACAGCATGGCTGTGGCCACTATGAGGAAGCTGGTTCCCAAGAAGTTGGAGGAAATTGCTCCTTCTACTCCAGAGATTTCCCAGCTAAGAAAACTATGTTTGGAGCAGCACACCAAGAAGATGGACAGCCTGAAAGAAGTGTTCAAAGAATACCTGATTGAGCTTTTCTTTCTGCAGCACCTACAAGGGAACATGATGGACTATGTTGCTTTTAAGAAGAAGCCCTGTGTTCCCTTGTATACCTACTTGAGACAGAACGATTTGGACCTAGAAGATGAAGAGGAAGAGGAAGAACAGTCTGAAGTCATTAATGATGAGGTATATTGCCTTTTTATACATTTGAGATAAAGTAGGAATTTTACAAGTAAAGGAATGCATGTTCATTTTATCGAATTAATGTTTTTAATCTCATATCATTTTATTTTTCAGGTGAAGGTTGTTACTGGAAAGGATGGCCAAGCAGTGACACCAGTTGCCATAGCAACACAGCTTCCTGCTAATGTGTCTGCAGCATTCTCTGTCCAGCAGCAGTTTCAGGTGATAAAGGCAACACTTGTTAGATAAAATGATCTATTATTTCTTTCTTAATTTATTTGATGATATGTGTTGCTAATTTCTAACTCCCTAGAGGTTGTTTTTCAGGGACACCAGGTTTCTGGTGGTACCATTACAAACCCTGGAGACATGGATGCCTTTAAGAGGCAACAGGCTATGGCAGGTAGGGCAAGAATCGCAAACTCCTGTCTTTCTGGTGTTGCTTTGTTTCCTCCCTGTTTGCTTTGTTTTCCGTTTGTTTTTTTTCTCCCTCTAATTGCTTCTGCTTTAAGATATTTGGCATCCCCTACTAGCGCTCTGTCTTCAAGACTTAACCAGGGGAAGGAGAGGTGACCTGTGAGGTCTTCCGAAGGTCATCGCTTTGTGCAGAGTGCTTTTTTTTGCGTTATGAGGGTATTGTGTGTTTTGAATCCCAGATCAGGCTAAGAGGTGCCGGATTGACGTTGGTCGCCATGGGCTGATTTTCCAGCATCCTGGTGTAGCTCTAGGATCACCTGGCGTTCCACTCCAGCAGCTTATGCCAACTGCGCAAGGTAGGAGTGCTACTACCAGGCCGTTCTTTGTTCTTTTCGATGCTGCTGGACGTATTCCCTTCCTCAAACTAAGGAGATTTTAAAAAAAGAAAAGTGAATCACGACATTCCTCTTCTACAAACAAACTTCAAGCAGCATCAACAAACAGATCTTCAACCATCTGCTGGATTTCTTAGACGTCCAAAGGAAGTTCAGGCTTAGCTGTACCAACACCAGCTCTCTGTCAGGATAAATGGGGAAGAAGACAATCCAAGTCTGAAGAAGAGTAGCCACTCGTTGGGAAGATGCCATGTCTTATGATTTTTCCTTTTTTGTTTCACTATTTATCACCCATCTTCTTTTCTGAAGTTTGTTCCTGTTAGTCATCTTTATTTGGAGAGACCTTCCCGTACTGGATGGATTTTCATCTTATTTGGAGGTGGATCACAGAAATCGGGGAGCCCTGTGGGAATGAATTCACTTTCCAATGGGTTTTGCTTGTTTTCCCATTTTATGAATCCACGTTTCATACTTCCTTTTGGTTTCCCATTGTCATTCCTTCACAAGTCTTTTCCTATCCGATTGTCCATCTTTGCATCATCAGCAGGGATTCAAAATCATCAGTCTTCAATTCATCCTCCGTTACATCTTCAAGAATATCTTTATTTACCTCATGTTCACGTTTGGTTGATTTCCTTCCATGTTATTTCATGGCATTTTGTTCTGACTTGGCTTCTTTCCCTCAGTCTAAGTAGGAGGGGGATCATGTGGAGGAGTTGCGTTCACGGCACAGGTTTTTTGCGATTGTGGTGGCGTGGGTGTGTCAGGGCCAAGTGTTGATGGCGTCTAGTCAAGGTGGTGTGTCGTGCAGGGAGGTAAGGCAGGTGCTGCTTTAGTGTGCACAGCTATGCTCAGACCTGCTGTCTGCAAGACCCCATGTCTGTCCTTTTGCTCACCTCTGTGCTTTGTTGCTATGTGAGGCATCCAGATGTCTTGGTTACAGCTAGAATTACATTGCTTCATGCATGCCAAACATTTGGTGTTTTGTGTCAGTGCTCGCTCTGTATTTGTATTTACCCTTCTCCCTGACTCTTAATCAGAACTTCTTTTTTTCTTTTCTCTTTCTTTTGTAACATCTCTATACTTCTTCTTATCTAAACCCTCTATTATTGCATGTATACTTTGATGTTTTTAACCCTCAGCATTGAAAATGCAATATTTTGGTTTTGCATTATGGTCAAAGTAGTATTTTATTTGAGAGACATGTAGAATCTCATTGATTTCTTTCCTTCTGTAATCATTTTCCTGTATGACCTTCATTAGTTTCTGCTTTTACCATTAGAAAGTAGTAAACTATTGTTTATTCATATAGTTCATCTTGTTCAAGGGTATAATGAGCTGTCATAGCTGAAACTCCAACGGTCATTTACTGTTTAAAAGTACTCTCTAATTACTCATTAGCTTCAAAATATGTAACTTTTAAAGTGGGTCTCTCAAATGTATCAAGGGAAAGCCACCACTTAATGGCATTCAAATATTTTTATTAAAGCAATATCACATACATTAATTTAATCTTGAGATGACAAGATTGTCTTAATGACTTTTTGTTGTGTTGCTTGTCCTATAATTTGGTTACTATGTGTACAGGCGGGATGCCGCCTAATCCTCAAGCGATCCAGATTGCAGGACAGAAGCCGATCCAGCATCAATACGACCCATCCAAAGGACCTCCAGTGCAGAATGCAGCCAGCCTGCACACCCCTCCTCCCCAGCTGCCTGGCAGGTTGCCCCATGGTGCTCTCCCTATGACAGGCATGCCCATGACACTCTCTCAGCAGGCTCAGTTATTGGAGAACACAGCTCAGTCCGGTGGCCAGCTCCAGGCACAGGTGAAGTTGCAGGCAGGTGTCCTGGCAGCAGTAAACCCTCACACACAGCTCCAAGCCCAACTGCAGCAGCAGATGCAGCCGGGTCTTCATCTCCAGCTGCAGCCCCAGCAGCAACAACCCTTACTGCAGGCAGGACAGGCGGTCAGTCTACCTAAAACTACACAAAAACAGTTTTCCTATATGTTTATAAATAAATAGTGATGCCTCAAATTGTCCTATTAAATATATGTTCTTCTCTCTTTGTTATAGACGGTAGCACTTGCTCGCCCTGGTGCAGAATCAAACCAGCTAGGTCAGAGGATTATGACCAACTCGATATCCATGACATCCATGTCTCCTGCTCCCCTCTCCGCTCCCAACTCTGTTCCAACACCCCATACTGCAAGTCCGCTGCGCCCTTATGGCTCTAACATCAACTCGAGCACCCAGTCCAAACTTACTGGAACCAATGGCATTTCGGCTGTGAAAATTGGTGGCTTTGGTCAAAGTGCGACCATGCAGTCCTCACAGGAGGGTTCTCAAGATAAGCAAGTTGAGCAGGCCAAACTGGTGAGTTTGTCATTTGTTGATTGAAAAGATGCTTTAATGTCTTCAATACATTTGTACCAGGGTTTCCGCTAGGTTTTTTCTTGCCGGTCAAATGTCCGAAAATAATTGATTTTACTGGACAAATTTGAAACTTACCGGTCATGTTTCAATAATAATAATAATACAAATAATAAGAAGAAGAAGAAGAAGAAGAATTGTGTAGCAGAGTTTCTGTTAGCAGGTAATTACCGGACTAGGACCGGATATGCTGATGTTTAAAACTCAGTTAATGGGAGTCATTTTTATATTGCTTCAGTTTATAATCGTAACAGATCGAAAAGTTCAGATTCATTCTTCAATAAATGATGCGCTTCCACAAACAACAAACAACATAATTATTACATTCAAACAAACTATTTGTAGTAGATAAAGTACATTATTCAAAAGTTTACATTAACTTTGGATAATAACACGGGAGAAACGGATCCTCTCTTTTCCCCTCTCTCTCCCTCTCTCTCCTGACAGCCCGTCAGTATTTCATGCAGCTCGCTAAACAGTGGGCGGGGCTTCAGGTGATCATGCAGAGCTGCGTGTCTCCGTCAGACTCAGCAGCTGATATGATCTCTCTCTCGCTCTCGTCTGGTTACACTTCACTCGCGTTTATGTCCATATCGATCAGTTCCAGCTCTCCTGATCGGCCTTTATAGAGAGCACCGATCAAACTATTAAGAGTGAATATCGGCCGATCAATCAGAGCATCCCTAATTATTACCAGACATTTTGACCGGCAGGTTTTTAATTGACCGGTTTCTAATACATTTGACCGAGGGCCGTCAAACAATTACAATTTTTAATCAGATTAATCACAGCTTAAAAATTAATTAATCATGATTAATCACCATTCGAACTATGTCCAAAATATGCCATTTCTTTATGTATATTGTTGTGGGAACGGAAAGATAAATGAAAGAAGGCGGATATATCCATTTCACATACAGTATATGTATGTTTATTATAAAAATCAACGGGGGAGTACTTCTGGAAAGTCGACGGGGGGGGGGCTAGTGGAGTACTTCATGACCACAGAGCATGAATGTTGTGATCAGCTGTTTTAGCGCAGTTCAGCCGGTTGGCGTAGTTTTGGCACAATTCCGTTGTACAGACCGACGTTAACAGCAGCCCTGTCTGTGCACACGGAGACCGACTCGGTCGTCCGGTGATCTAACCGCCTTCTGGAAAAGCTTCACAAGTACGTCGGTACGCAAATGCGCAAAAAAGTGACGGTACGCATTTCAGATTGTTGCCGCGCATGCGTACCTGCGTACCAGTTATGTGCACCCCTGATAATAGGGTTCCTTTAAGTCTTAGGAACACATCTATGTGCCGTTATGTAGTGGCGGTACACAGCGCTGGTCCATACCTGACTTGTAGAGAGTTTGTACTCTAAGGCTTTGGAGTAGGCGGGGTCCGTGTAGATCTCAGGGACGGAGACTTTCTCCTCCAGAGCGATCATCTTAAGGCCCAGCAGGTGTCTGTCGATGGCCTGGCCGCTGATCGCCTGAGGGAGAGAAGGATGTTAGTCACCAGATGTTAACTACTTATTAACTAGACATGCTTTATTCTGTATCTTCCCTGTTGCAGGAGCTAGACGTACAAATTCAATAATACAGAAATTGAATTTACCCAAGCAGTAGGTTGTTTTAATTGTAAGTGTAAGTAATTATTGTAAGTGCCTCAAACAAGACAAAATAGTACTTGTGTTTTGGGGGATATGGTGGTGTTGAGGTGAGTATTTGGGCAGCAGGATTGTGTGTATGGGGTTGAGTCTAAATAAACTACAGTGTGTGTTCATGGTAACGAAGGAACATGTGCCAGTGCGTCAGGTTCTTTGTGAAACAATGCCTCTCTATGGCAGAAAGGAAGAAGATATTAAGCGTTGACACACACCGTGCTTCTTAGTAGGAAACATTCACTGTAAGTTTGAGCTTTGTTGACAATTATTACTAGACGTGTTGACTTTGATCATCCTGTGAATACTCACCATGTTAGTGTACGCCCTGTGAGCGTGAACAGCTTTCTCCATTAGGTCCACCTTCTCTGTGTTCTGGTGAAAACAGGAAAAGGCGGGAAACATTACAACACAAACTGTTTTTCCTCAACGTAGAATTGTTTCCTATAAGAAGAATTTATACTCATTTGGGGACGTGCCCATAAAGCGTTTTGTCTCTGGCAGAAAAGCGCTTTCTTTAGTTTTTATACAGTCTTAGACTGACACAGTGCTTTTTATTACCCAGCTCCATTACTATGTGTATGTTTAAAACAGTTTTTAACATAAGCACCAATCAGAGGACAGATGATTGGCTGCCTGTGAAGAAGTGACTGACAGAGTTCCCTATGAACCAGCTGGTGTACCGCCTCAATGCAAATACATCCCATACAAATGTCCCTTTTAATCACACCTGTTTGCTGAGGTCATCAAAGGCCTTGACGAAGGCAGCGGAGGCGCTCGAAGCAGATCTGATTGTGTCTGTGCGGCCGAATCTGAACATACGCAGGGAGGCGCTCTCGTACGTGGCACAGCAGCGCCGGTTCATCCTGAGAGAGACCAAAGCAGTGTGCAAAAACTGACTAGTGGCTACTAGACTAATACAGGGTTCATACACTTTTTCAACAATGATTCTCCATGACCTTTACCTAATTTTCCATGACTAAAAAAATCTCTTTCTCAGCGGTAACACTGAAAATGGTTTATTTTAACATGGAACAGGAAAATAAGGTCTGCATATGAAATAACTTGTATCAAATAGTAGGCTTACTAGCTCCGACAGGCTAAAGCCACTAGAGGGCGTGATTGTAAAAATCTCTCACCAGCAAAATACCTCGTCAGTTAAATGCCATTTTAAGTTTCATTACTATAAGATACAGTACCGGTATGTATTATCATTATAGTATTACTATTTTGGCGATTAGATAAAATATAAATTATATTTGATGCAACTTACAGTTACATTTTCATGACTTTTCCAAAACTTTGGGAAAAATATTATTTACCATAAATGTTCCAGGTTTTTAATGACCGTACGAACCCTGCTAATAATAATAATAATATTTATTTATGAGCGCACTTTTCATTTGGGTTAACAAAACTCAAAGTGCTACAGAGTAAAATGGTTGAAACCAAACAACAAACATATATATTTATTTAATAAAGTAAACAACAGAATAAAAACAGTGACGTTTAGGCCGGCATGGCAACAAGTGGGGGTTTTAAAGATCTAGCAAAAGGCTATTCTAAAAAGATGCTATTTTAGGCCTTTTTTAAAAGCATCCACAGTCTGACTTGGTAACATTAAGCTGTCTGTGGCTCTTTTCTGCCATAACAAATGTAAATGTCCTCTCTGTGGGGCGAATAAAGGTATTCTGATTCTGAATGCATCAACAAAAGCAGGGACGCATTTCTGAAGGTTCTCACGACAAATGGTGACATTATTCTTTATCTCATTTGAAGTTTTTTCATGAGTAATGTCCCTAATGGCATATATTAATGCTTTCAAGAGAGCTGTGGGGAAACTAGCTCATAGATGTAATATATTGAAGCATGAAACACTTGATACACTAAATGACAGGTTGTCTTAAACAAGTATTCCTCCAACTTTAACATTTTGTCACGAAGGACCGAAACATCATATTTTTTATTTCGCAGATTCTTCTTCCGTGCCTACACAACCCACAATTCAGATTAACCATCAGCTCAGTGGGAGAGTGGGGTGTTTCCAAAGTGCTGATTCTCTGTCTGTTGCTTTAGATGAAAAAAATAAGGAGCCCCTCCCCACGCCCCTCTGAGAGACATTTGGTTACAAAGAACTCAATGGTGCTCGAGGAGGAGATTCAGGTGATAAGGGGGGGGGGGGTTACCTTGGTTGCTGATTGGCTAATGGTTACTCAAGACAAAACATCGTTATGACATCATAAAGTGGCCAAAATCTGATCAGCTCATTTTCAGACAGGTCTTTATAGAAATGGATCAAAAAGAGAGAGAATCTTTGTTCCTGAAACTTTCAGAGTCTCTTTCCACAGAGGGGACACATGTTGATGTAGAAGAGACATGAAGAAGAGGGGACACATGTTGATGTAGAAGAGACATGAAGAAGAGGGGACACATGTTGATGTAGAAGAGACATGGAGAAGAGGGGACACATGTTGATGAAGAAGAGACATGAAGAGGGGACACATGTTGATGTAGAAGAGACATGAAGAAGAGGGGACACATGTTGATGTAGAAGAGACATGGAGAAGAGGGGACACATGTTGATGTAGAAGAGACATGAAGAGGGGACACATGTTGATGTAGAAGAGACATGAAGAAGAGGGGACACATGTTGATGTAGAAGAGGNGCAGCAGCAGCAGCCGCCACAGCGAGAGTCGCAACGGAGATGGAAGCAGGAGGGAAAGAGAGGATCGGAGGAGCGAGAGGGACGGGGGAGACAAAGGGAGTGGGGAGGGGAGGGACAGAGGAGATGATAGCTTTGCTGTCCCTGAACCACCAAAGCGTAGAAAGAGCAGGTGGGACAACTAAAAGCAGGAAATCTACGTATCAATAGAATAATGTGTGCAACTGCTCAATGATGAGCTTGTCTGTTGTGAAGGCAGATAGCAGAGCATATCAGAGGCTGACACAAGCACAAGAGGAGATGTGTGGACTTTGAATAAAAGTTCACTGAGATCCTGTAAGGTTGGTTAGGTCATGATCAGAAAGATCAACAGAAGCAGCTCAGAGACAGTTACTGTACATATGTCATCATGACTGTTGTTATTGTAAGTCAATAGGATCAGGCAATAGAGCTGTAATGAAGCCAGCTGTCAGTAAACAATTCAAAGCTAGGACACGTTGGTTATTGCAAGGTTTCCTCTCAATGAGTTCCTATTCCTAACATGCTTTTGTGCTTGATGTTTTATTTTATTTCCTGATGGATCTTTGCCAAGTCGTGCATTTGTGTTTGCGTTTTGTTAATCTACCAAACTTACTCTGTTTAAGTGCTCTGTCTCGATTCAAAGTCACACACATGTTAATACAATGTATAGCTTTTTTGTGTCTTGTATTCGAGTTCTAGTGAAATGCCTTACTTTGGCATTTAGTCTGTCTATGCTTTGGAACTGTTTTTCAAGAAANGTGTGCCTTGGCAATGTATAGCTTTTTTGTGTCTTGTATTCGAGTTCTAGTGAAATGCCTTACTTTGGCATTTAGTCTGTCTATGCTTTGGAACTGTTTTTCAAGAAAGATGCATTTGTTTTGTATGGGAGGAATTTCAAGTGTTCATTTACACGTGGAATATGTGACGTTTTGATTAAAAATACTTCTTTGGCATCGACTTTTGTATCTGCTTTTCTATGACAAACTGTCACTAATACAAATTAATATGAAAAGCTAATATTTAAAGGCAATTACATAACAAACAATATGTATACACATAAATAAACATTCACTCCAAAAGCTGGTTACATTTTTTGTTTGAATAAACTGTCATTTAAGTAGATAGTTCCGTTTGAGCAGTAATGGAGTTAACGTACGTTAATTATTAAGAGCTCCTGCCTTTGGCCACTGGGAGGCAGTGAACACCCATGACTTTAAGGTCGACCGCTAATTGTTTTTTTATAAAGAATTAGCAGTAAGTGTTACAATAAAACCATCTTGTCTGTGACGTTAGTAACTATCATTATGCATCATACGTTGTTAGCAGGTCATATATGTTGTGTTTTTGTCTAACTAGAGTCATTTCAGCTGTCAAATAAATGTATAGGGAAATATTGTTAAATAGTTTCATCTAAGTTGAAGTAGAGCAGCAGCACATTTAAATATGTGTCCGTCGTGTTAAGACTTATTTGTGTCATAGATAGTAGAAATTGAAACCAAACGGAACTGTTTCAAAAAACAAAACAAATGTAGAGTTGACTCCATTACATACATTTGTATTATTTAGATAGTATTTTATATTTTCAAAGAAATACATAACAGAAAACATCCATACAAGGACATTGTCAATTGCATAATATGCATGCACATGGTCCTGTATCATGATTTACTCCATACCATTGATATACTTTTTATTCTATATTATCTTATTTTATTTTCACCCTGTCTTAAATGTATTGTCTATTAGTCTCACTTGTTTTTTGTGTTGCTTTTTTTTTTAAAGGGGAGCAGCCAAGATGGTTTCGGTCAAGGAATTGCCTTATCGTGATCGAAATGATTTACCCTATCAAAATATGATAGAATTTAATAGAATAGAATAAACAAAAGAGTACTTCTTCCACCACTAGTTCTATTGGGGAGGGATAATACACTTAACAGTGCCATCCTTGTTCGATTCTCAGCTGGGATTTGTCCGACAGTCAGTGAATGCATCAAGAGCAGATGAGAACCAATCGCGTGCGACATCCTGCTGAAGAAGAAGTAAAAAAAAACGCTCTGTTGAAAATCGAGACGTGAAGCGAAGCAGAGGCTAGAAACTAACCGGCATCTGGGCCAGCAGCGTCTGCAACAAAAGCCTCGCAAAAGCCTGCTGAATGAGAGAGCAAATATCCACCTCCAGCAACTGAGTGAACAGACGTTTTGAGCTAGTGTGTGGCAGACAAGAAGCGCAGATGGTGAGTGTGTTTCACCGTGTGTCTGCAGCCTCCCCTCCCTCCTCCCTGCTCTCCTCTCTGCTTCTGTTTTTTGTGTGAGATGAGGTGAGCTGATGATGTCGGTCCGAGGGGGTTAGCTAACGGGGAGCTGTTTTCTTATACATGTGGTGGTGCAAATGATGGATGTTAATGCAGTGTAGGTAAAAGCTATCGTAAAGATCCGTGTATGTTGAAATTAAGCAGAATTGAGCACCCCGCCGTCGTGTTCTTCAAAATGCTAGCAGTGTGCTCTGCTTGTGTTAACGTGAATTAGTTAGCTATAGCTTGCTGGCTAATTAATACCAAAGGTGGTTTTTCAACCCAGTGAATAAAACATCAACCACAAATCACCCCTGCTAATGAGTTATATTTTTAACAGATAATTAATTTCAATTGTAGGCTACTCCCCAATCAGCCGATTCGTAAATTGATTTTGTGTTTGAATATCATGTGCCGTCATTGTATGTTGTTGTTTTGTTCAAGCAGCAACCTAAGCGGCTGGGTTTTTTTGTTGTTGAAAATGTAGGCTCAGATCTGTCCCAGTGTTACATAAATGTCTTTAGTAAATCAAGTATATGTACACACACAGAGGTCTGTACTAGGAATGTAACCCAATAGACCCCAAACAAATGATGCACACAAATTAAGGCAAAATCAATTGTATGGCTATTTTAAATGTAGCCAGCAGTACCGTAGGCCTATGATATACTTGAAAGCTTAAGCCTGTTGTCTTGGTTATAAATCTTTTCCTACTTTTGATCTTAATTTACAGATAATATCTAATCTGAAAATCTGGTTATTTACATCAAAATTAAAATTATGACAGTATCCAGGTTTCTGATCATCTCTCTCAGCCACTCCCTTCTGTACCAACACAGATTGATGAGGAACCTAAGTGTGGTCTTCACATGCCACAGTATACTCTAGCTATATGCATACATCTGGGTTTAAAACTAGGATAAAATACTCCAAATAACAGATCACAACTGGGAGACCAAATTCAGTGTGTGAAATACTGTTCTGCAGCTACTAAGATTGTCATCTAAGTAATATCAAATGGACAATTGGATTAAACATCTATGTGAATCAGCAATGGTTTCACCAGTTGGAAGCAAAACATGTGTTTTTTACAAATCTCTTGCCTGTGTTTGTGTTGTCAACTAGTTTACAAACTGCTCTGTGGTCTGGTTGAACCACATTGTATCCATCCAGCACACCACATTTACAGCAGTCTCTCATTTTAGCTCTGGCATATGGCGGCAAGGCTTAAGTAAATGGTCTTTTTAATTTCCTGCCACTGCCAGTGGGCTGCCTGAGTGTAATTTCAGTCTGGGTTGACAGCACAGATTGACATCCTGCTTTGCTGGTTGATTTACGTCACTATTTTTGGTGGATTTGAGAGGCTGTTGCTGTAATTGGAGTTTTTGTCCAAGATGATTAACAAACAATGCAGATCTAGGCAAAGCACGTTGTACAAAGCTGTGATTAGGACAAATAGCATTTATTTAGTTTGACCATATGCTATGATTACAAAAAATTACCATTAACGACACAAAAACCTGATTTGCTGGGCTCGTCAAAAGGACCATATAAGGGGAGGGGGGATGTTTTCCTGTTGTCAGATGTGCCCAAAAAATGGGTCGCCAGCAGGTCTAGCGATAGAGCTGCAGGCCAAATCGTTCAGATTAATAGTTTTATTGTATAGTCAGGGTGGTTGTGTGAACAAAGGAACACTAGGCCTACTTCATGCCTGCAGAAAATCTATGTTTCTGTGTGTTATTCAGTGGTTCATATTTTTTGGAAACTAGTTTTGGCTGCATTGTTCATGTCAGCTGCACATGAACACCACATTGAGGTTCTAGTCTTTAGACAAATCGTCCAATTGCTAATTTGCATTATTTGTCTCTTAAGGGCAATGGTAGATACTTAAAACATTACCCTCACTGTCATTTGTTTGATATATAAACATTTTCTGACATGGTTCACTGCAGTCAACTGAAAATCACATCTCTGATAAAGGTTCAGAACATTAGCATTAATACAGATGTCCAAGCCCATCACTCCCCCCTGTATTTGCGTGAATATTTTCAGTATAAATTGTCTAAACAACAACCATGCATTCCCATTGCTTTGCCTCTCTGTGGCTGTCACCACTGATCTAATGCAGGCGATAGCGCGTGAAAGCACGCTTTGAAAGCACGCTTTGAAAGCACGCTTTGAAAGCACGCTTTGAAAGCACGCTTTGAAAGCACCTTAGGGCGGACTGTTTAGAAAGACTCAGCCAGTAGAGTATCGTCCATCAAAAGACGATGTCCTAGAGTCACATTTTGAATTCTACAAAGCTTTGGAAATCTACGCACTGTAACTTAAATGATCCACATATATCTGGGAAATAACTACAAAGACAACCTTATTGGCGAAAAATGTCTGAATTCCCTCGTTCCTACATCTTTCATTGTCCGAGTCAGCAACATCTAAGTGGAATGTAAAGAAGTGTTTGATGAACATATCTCTCATTAGAGAGTTTGTGCATGTGAGTTTCTGTTAAAGACACGATAGGGCATATTATTCAGAGTTCCGGTCCCAAGAATTGGGTTGTAAATTGTTCCCCCTCTCCTTCAGTGTGTGATAACATCTGATCAGAAGAAGCACTTGAGGCTGTTTCTTCTCTAGCTTCAGCCAGTTGCAAAAGCCAGCAGCCTCTTACTCTGTCAAGTCACCACAGGCTCCTCAGCACATTCTTTTACAGGCCGTCACTGGTTTTGTTCTTTATAGTTTTAAGATGAAAACATAGACAGACCAGCTGTTACACAATACCAACACCAACCATTTGTTATTATGGTCATTGCAGGTGTGGTTTAGGAGCGAAATTGATAAATGTTATGAAGCGTTTTTTTAGAAACACATGTTGTATTTTGCTCTCTGACTTTATTAGTTGTATCTGAGTTTACGAGATATGTTAGTATGCAATTAGAATAATCTTTGACATAAACGATCAGAGAACTTAGTTCTTCTTGATTGTGCCCTCAGGCAGCTTCTTCAAAGAAATGAAAAAGGACTCACTGAGCAAAAGTCTGTCAGCAAAACTCATAGTGGTGCAGAACTTATTTTCCGGTGAGCAAAAGTTGCTGACTAATTAAACGTTAAAGAAAGCTGTATAATCTTCGCTTTCTGAAAGGGCAGCAGCTTCTCAGCACTGGGTGGAATATGTTATAATCTTAAGTGTTTTGTATTTGCTCAAGTTCGCCTTTTATATCAACAAAAGGTTCACGCCTTTCTTATGATCTTAAAAGTAGTCTAGACCTGCATCGATTAGGTTGATTTAAATACTCTATGAAGTACTTTCTCAAGCAAAAACTTTGTTAACGGGAGATTTTTCACTGTTTTCTGACATTCAATTGATCAGGACATTTTTTTTTTAATAGTCACAGTTTTTGACACGGTTATTACAATTGAGCACTTTTGGGCTCTTCTCATACTTCAATAAATACAAGTTTTTGGCGTCAGCAGACTAAGAAGACATGCAGACATTTGAAACACTGTGACCTCAAGCAAAAAAAAGTGCCCTGTCACTTTCTTGTTGCATGCAGGAAGCTAAAAAAACGGAAGCGAAGTACTGACGGACAAAATGCCCCGACATGCTCCAAAATATGATTAATGCGAACTAGTGTGGCAATCCTCCATCTGCACTCTCAAAGATAATTTCATCCTACTCTCATCAACAGAGCCTGTCAAGTTTCAAAACCTCAAGAAATACTCACTGCTCCAACACATAAAGGTTTTTTAATTAACCACATTCCAATCCTGAGTT